ACAAATGGTCCAACACCAGCAAATACATCAAAAACAAGATCATTATGATGAAGAATATTCACAATACGTTCACGTTCAGTACCTGAACAATGAATTTAAATAAAAAAAATAAAAAATAAAATTGAAAAGACATACTTAATCGAGGATTCCAATAAACTTTAGCAAAATCAAATTGAAATATTGCTTTACTTTCACGACATTTAACAATTGTATTTGGTTCACCAGCAAGAATTTCCAATTCAAAATTACGATAAACAGAATCAATTTCATGTAATTTATTGACGACAGTTTTCACATTTGGTAATTTATCAAGAACAACTTGAGCTACAATTCTTACAAGAAATTATTTATATAAATGTATACAAACATAAGTTTTTGAAATAGAATAACTAAAAATATTTGATCATTTACTACGATATAAGTAGAAACTCATAGCAGAGATATGTATCACGACCGAAAACATTCCACAATGGTAGAAAAGAAAAGCTCGAACGTAGATGTTTAAACCAATGTATTGATCGGTGGAGGTGATTGAAATTTTTTAATGAGTTTTTTAAAAACTTTCTTCATTTCGGGAAAAAGAGAGATAGTAGAGAACTTATTAACAAGAAACCAGATGGTAATATCTCCAAAAACTAATTTGAGACACTGGAAATTTTTAGAAATCAAATATCTATTTTTATGTCGTGGCAGCAGTTCAGCCGATCGGCTCATATGTCTACTCACGCCACTATTGGAATAGTATTCCAAAAAAAAAAAGGTTTTCGAATTTCATTGTCGTGACTGTACTGAAAGGGAACTGTTGTTACTGATCTATGAGATTCATCAAATCTTACAGTGTTGCTTTTGAGAACATTGAAATTCCGTACAAATTCATGTAATTTGCAATGTACCTGAAGAAAAGGTAGTCGCTGCTATAATAGGATACGGTAAATTCGAAATTCTACATTTTATTATATAATGGATGATACAAGCTAAACAATACGTGACAAACATCTAGGTTAAATATCAATGATATCCTGCGTTCATATCTCAATGGATCGAATTAAATTTTCATGAATTTGTTTTTCAAACATTCCTTACGCTAGAATGGTTGTTTGAAAAAAAACCTGTCGCCATCGCGGAGAACATCTCTGACTCGTAGTACTTTCATTCTTCGATTAATCATAAATCTTTATTATGAATAGACAACACTCAGTGAAGAATCTACAGTAAAACGTGTCTTATTCTCTTGAAGATGTTTTATCAAAGTGAGAGAATAATTCATCAGGCTTTCGAAAAGAATCTCACTTATGAGTTTTACAGGATAGTCTCGAATAATCCTGAAAAATCCCGCAGGATATAATTCACTATTACAACTGCACTCACCAATAATATGCTTATATGGTAAAACTGCATCTTTCAAATTGAAATGTGCAATATGTCCAACAAGACTATAACCTGAACCTGTATTAATCGGTTTATCTTTTCCTAAATCATCTGGTAAAATAGCTTTAATAACTTGATCAATTGAATAATTTCCATATGTTAATGTTATTGAAGTAAAATCAAATGATTTTTCAACATATTTTTCTATTGATGGTACAATTTTTACGATATCTTCTTTTGTTTTAATAATATCTGGATCAAATAAAACTTGTTTATGTGTTTTTGATATAGGTTGTAAATCACGAACATTTATAAATGAATGTAAGTAAAGAATTTTTCCATTTTGATGTTTGAATACATTCAACTGGAATATTCACATATGGAACTGTAATTATTTGTGTAAATTGTTCTCGATCTAATTTAGTCATACCTTTCAATGATAAAGGTAATTTTATATGCATATTACGTAATGATCGAATAAATTTATATGAAAATCTACACATTCATCTGTAATTTAAATCAACAAAAAAAAAACGAACAAAGAATTTTTCTTTTCAATATACTTATACATTGTATCATCATAAACAATATCTTTGCTAAATTTATTTTATCAATCAAAAAGAAATAAAATTAAGGGAAATAACAGGTAAAAAAATAGCAGACGCACGTATACACAAAAACAAACAAAGAAAAAAGAAATGGTTTATTTAAGGTTCACTGGATCAATATAGAAATAAATATAACCAGCGTAAAAAGAAAACATATATATGTCTCATTCTCTCTATGATTGAGATCGTTTTTTATATGATATTTGTGTTGGTGTTAATCCACGATTTTTTTTACGTCTTTCAATTAAATCTTCAACACGTGATGTTAAACGTCGAGATATTTTTAATGTATCATCGGGAATCTCTTGAATCTTTTTCTCGATAAATAATTGAATATTTCTACAATAACAAAACAAAAAAATATATATATCTTTCATTATTTATCTAATTCAAATAAATATCATTCTAAAAAATAAATTAGTAAAAACAAAATATTCACATGCATTTATCTGTGTATATCTTTAAAAAAGCAAGCTTCATCATGCAATTTAAAA